CATCCAGATCAACATTGGCTCTCTGGAGCTGTCCGCCAACCACAACATCCGCCAGGTGGTGGATGTGTGCGACGAGTTCAGCAAGGAAGAGAAGTAAGTGCAAGCTTAAAAAAGAGTTTCAAAAGCCTGAAGGCTCTATTAATTTTAAAAATTTTATTATTTATCAATTTTCAATTCAACATTAAGCTAAATGAAAAAACTTTCTAGACTCTATTTTCTTAACGTTTAAGGATAGTTTTAATATTTATAGAAAAAACAATTTCTTAAAATAATATTTCAATACAACAGACTGTCTAGATTTTATAAAACAATTATGTTATGTTAAGCTAAGCCCGTAATTGTATATAGAAAAAAAGAGTTTCAAACTTTAAAGCTCTATCCATTTTATAATTTAATGTTTTACCAATTTTCACTTCAGCATTAAGCAGAATGAACATAGTTTCTAGATACTGTTTTCTTAACGTTTAATGATAGTATGAATATTTAAGATTTATTCCGATCTTCAAAGCATAAAAAGATACAATTTTCTTAAAATAATTTTGTCCAAAAACCCCCAAACCTAATTATATTTTCCTTATTTTTTAATCCAGATTGAAGACCCTCCTGTCCGACATCTATGACACCAGCGAGAGCCCCGGCAAGATCATCATTTTCGTGGAGACGAAGCGGCGCGTAGACAACCTGGTGCGCTTCATCCGCAGCTTCGGCGTTCGCTGTGGAGCGATCCACGGCGACAAGTCGCAGTCAGAGCGAGACTTTGTCCTGCGGGAGTTCCGCTCGGGCAAGTCCAACATCCTGGTGGCCACCGATGTGGCAGCTCGTGGACTGGGTAAGTTTGCTCCCATTTCGGCGTAGAAAATAGCTCGTAGTTTGCGGCCAGATGAGCGAATGTTTTGGAGGGCCCTGCTAGCGATAAGGTCACACTTGCTAGGGCCATTGCTTACATACCCCACATCAGTACAAGAGTAAACCGCACCTAACCGATCACCCACCATCATTACACACCACCCATCCAGCCACCACATGCGAGCAGCAGCTAAACCCAAAGAACCCACCCACCCGAATCCCCTTAACCGCACCTAGAGATATATCCCGGTACATCGAAACCACATCTAGCGAGCGCGCCAATTCAGAAACAGTTTCTTTAGACATAAGCCGAATGCCAAAATCGAATAATCAACTTGAACTTTTACCCCACCCCCCTTGACCCTGACCCTGACCCACACCCCGTCCCGACCCGACCCGCCCCGCCCCGCCACCACCCAACCTAAAAAACCTGGCCCAAACCCCTGCTAAAAATGTATGGAATGCGTATGCGTATGCTCCGTATGCAATTGTGGTGTACCTGGTGCACTCACACACACACACACACCTTTTGTCTTTGTGCGTGTCTCTCTGCCTCTTTCTCTCTCTCTCTCCCCTCTCTCTCTCTCTCTCTCTCTCTCTTTCTTGTTTCTTTCTCGTTTACAGAGGCCGATTTTGGTAGTATGATGGGGAGGATAGTGAATGAGCGGCGACCACTGCGAACACTCGTGACTTGAGCGACTTTTGCCAACATCAATCAGATCTGTTATGATGATATATGATGATACCACACCCCTGTGTGTGTGTGATATTATTGCGCAAAAGGACCGATGAAAGTTCTCAGATTCAGACGGTCGAGAGACACGAATATCGAATATCCCCAACATCATGCATCATATGTGGCCTCTGCAGTTCCCCGACTTTTTGTTGAGAAAGAATGATACGATATGATATGATATGATATGATATATGCTATGCTATGATATGATACGTTTTTGCGATCAAAGACAATCCACCAACTACCAACCAAAACAACCAATCAACCAAAAGATCCAACAACAACAACTGAACCGAGCCATCGGAGAGCCAGCTTTTTCCTCAGCAGTGGAAGGCGGCGGAAGGCGGCGTGCAAAGTACTGATGCGGTGGCCTGGCCCTTTGGGAAAGCACAAGAATTGGACATGCACCAAGTCAGTCGACAGTCGACAGCCGACAGCAACAGCAAAAGCAAAGCACATTGACACCACCACCAACCCAACCACACAACATCAACATATAATACACATCCAACTAAGAACACCCGACATTATTCGCTTGAGCCAGGGTAGCCAGCGGATAAGAACAGGAGACGAGACGCGTACGTGTACGAGTTACGTGTTACGAGTTACGAGATGTGTGTACGTGTCCGTGCTTTCGAGGATCGGGGATGCGAAGATGCTGCTGCTGAGTGCTGCTGCGTTGCTGCGTCCTCCAAAAAGATCACCACCAAACCCCACCCAACCACTGCCTGCGTTTGCCGCCGCATCCATCACAAAAGCCCACTGCTCCTGGACGAAAAGGCGGCCCGCTTGTTGTTGTTAATCCTCCCAAAAATGTGTTGAAATCTATATACAAGTATATATATAATGGTCGTTCGTGTCTCCTCTCTGTGGCCACCTCCAAAATGGTCCATGTGAGAAGAGAGCTGAGCTTAGTCAGAGGCGCACGCGGCTCAATGCAACAAACTCTCCGCTTCGCCGTGCGATCGAGATCGCTACCTTGTTGTTTCTGGGCGAGAGTTTGGACCACGAGCTGCGCGACGCCAATCAGAGATTTTGATTGAGAGAAAAATTGAGTCAAACAATTTATAGCACCAAGAAGGTAACGTACATTTTGAAACATTTTCTTTTTTTCTCTAAAAAAAAAAATAAAATACAAACCAAAACAAACCCACAAAACCAAAAAAAAAAACTACCATAGACTCTTAATAGTATGCTAACGTAAAAAAAAATTCAAAAAAATACAAAAAAAAAAAAAGAAAAGACAAGTGTGTTCAAAGTGTTCAAAACATCTCGGAAAAACGCTAAAAATTGTTGCAAGCGAGCGCGCAGAGCGGAAAATCATTTGGCAATTTGAAAACTGTTCGTCAATTATTATATATATATGATACCCCAATTAATAAGTATGAACAGCCAAAAGCACGCGACTAATCGTAACGCCTTCTCTTTTTTGCCCGGACATCTCTGTAGACGTGGACGGCATCAAGTATGTCATCAACTTTGACTACCCGCAAAACAGCGAGGACTACATCCATCGCATCGGACGTACAGGACGATCCAACACAAAAGGCACCTCCTTTGCCTTCTTCACCAAGAACAATGCTAAGCAAGCCAAGGCGCTGGTCGATGTCCTCAGAGAGGCTAATCAGGTGAGTCGATGGTTGCAACGCTCGTTAGGCAGTATAAACAGCTCATGAGTGTAGGAAATAATCATTTATTTAAATGTCTAAAAGGAGTCTTTTTTAAGAAATAATCTTTCGGAATCTTATCAATATTCAAAGAAAGATCAATGGTCTTTGATAATAGATATAAATTGATCAATGGTCACCATAAAAATGTTTTAATAGGGTCATGATAGGAATTTCTTTTAGCCGAAACTAAAGTATTGGGTCACAGAAACCTCAAAATTTTAAAACAAGTCAATATAAATACTCAACAGCTTGATTGTTTTCTTTAAAAATAATTTTTACTATCTCAATTTTCTCATTTGTAAGTATAATTCACGTTGAGCTTTGCGAAGAGTATCTAAATTGAATTCGCATATTATATTAAGCTGTTTTAAACTGTTTATGAGTTATTTAAATTTCTTTTAAATTTTAATGATTAATTTCTTCTACAGGAAATCAATCCTGCCCTGGAAAATATGGCCCGCAACTCGCGCTACGACGGTGGCGGCGGACGCTCCCGTTACGGAGGCGGCGGCGGTGGTGGCGGTCGCTTCGGCGGCGGCGGCTTCAAGAAGGGCAGCCTGAGCAACGGACGCGGCTTCGGAGGGGGCGGCGGCGGCGGTGGCGGCGAAGGCAGACACTCGCGCTTCGACTAGATCGGGGACGGAAGAGCAGTAATAGAAGCTATAGGAACAGGAGATTTCAGTAGCTAAACTAAACCGCGCTAGGCCCTAAGTTAAATTAAGTTAATAGCCTAAGTTTAAGTTTTTCGTACAACTTTCAACAAACCGCTGATGGTTTTTCTCAGATTTAAATTCAGACTTAACCCTAACCACCCCCCATATGAAAGTACACAAAAGCCGGGCTATTTGAACATAGCTATTTTATGTTTAAATGATTTGTAAGTTATTTGACGCTGGACCGCGAGGTCGGCACAACAACCCAATTGAAAACATCAAAAACACTCTTTACTTAAACGCAAAAACCAATTTTCAAATATCATGTGATAATTTCTTAATTTAATGCAACGTATCACTAAACTAAACACAAAAACAAACAAAAACAAATGAAATCGTAGCGCGAGGAGTATAATGATGTAGTGGAGGAGAGAAGGAAAAAGTGTAAGGATCATTCCCGTCTGTACCGTCTTGATGACAATGAACAAAGGCTGAAGAGCGACCTTTGTTTGATAAATAAATTCTTCAATTTACTTTTGGAAAATTAACTTTTTGGATACCTTTTATGGCTCAACAAGAATGTGTAAGGAAAGAAGAACGAGCGGGAAATCACATTAACTACTGACACTAAATACAAAAGAAAATCTGTATGTACATGATGAGAATTTCTCACTTACAATTTAATTTTTCGGAAAAAAATAATAAATGTGTGTGTATACCTACTACAACCTAAACCAACAACAAAGCTGCAGTTTTATGTATTGAATTCAACTAAATTGTTAGCGCGCACTGCTGGCTACAAAGGAATTCCGTTTTCCATGGCAGGTTGCGGGTGTAAAGTAATCGTGATTGCACAAATATTTTCGCAGACATCATTAAGTGCGAGATTTGGCCGCTTTTGGCAGAGTGTCAATAGCGCTTCCTCCCTTTACCCCTCGAAAAGCGTCAGATAAGAGAGCTGTGTTTGCTGCGGGGTGTGAAATACGAGTGTTGTCGACTTAGCTTTTTTGTAGCTGTTTCAATTGGGAAAAATGCCCATATCACGACATACATTTTATGGGGAAAAAATTTGGAAACCAATTCTACAATTACTTACAGTTTTGTCGAAAATATTTGGAACACATTTGAAAATTTGTTTAAATATTTTAAATTCTTGAAAGACTTGAGCCGAAAAAAAACAAAACTATTAAATTTAAATAATGGAAGAGAATGTCAAGCTAAATCATTCTAAAATTCTTATGAAATTCTTAATATCTCCATAAAATATGTAATTTTGTTTTTAAAAAGTTAAATATTTTGTTTGTTTTAAAATTGTTTCTTACTGATCTGTTTCCTTTGATCTGTTGTGAAAATTTTAACTTGATTTGATAATCGAGTATAGTTTTTTAAATGAATTTTTTATGTAAACTTAGGAAAGTGCTCTCTAATTTTATTATTAAAAACAACCAAATATTTTTTAGATACTTTCATCTTAATTTACTTTGTAGGTATTTTAGTACATACTTGGAATCGATAGTTGGCAGCACTGGAGGAAGTAAATACGGAAGGACGGACAGCCGCCGTGTCCGTGTCTTCTGACACCACATTTAGACGCAATGAAGCCAATTCACTTTCGACTTTGGCCTGCCTCGTGCCTCGGGTTCCATGCCCGTGCTCCTTATGACAAGTTAGTTGGGTTCTTGGGACCGCACCGGTCCACTTACCCCATTTGCACGACGCGGCGGCCAAAGTTGTGGGCCGCTGCTCCATGGCGATTTCTGGTGCCCGATAATGACGCTTCTGGGGACGTGAATGTGGTCGGATTGGAGGTCCTGCGATTCGCTGGCTGATGGGACGGCGCGTTCTTGCGGTTGCGGTGGAGCTGCGGAGGAAGTCATTTGTTAAATTGCTTGAATTGGGCAACGCGTTTTGGTTTGGCTGTAAAGGAGTTCTTGGCAGTGGGCTTAGGACTAGCGATATGTAAAACAGAAGTTTTGAAACGAAAATTTGTTTTGGTCAGTGCTTAGAAATTACTCTTGTCTTTTGCAGTTACAAATAAAATGAAAAAAATTGATTTTTAAATGTTTTAATATTTTTAAGTTTAATAAGTTTGTGTTATGCAAGCTAAGCTCTCGTTTTATAAAATAATATTCAATTAGTTTTTGAGGTTTTATTATTAAACCAAAAGTAGCTGACAACTATTAATAGAAAGTAAAAAAACGATTTTTTTGAGAATCACAGGACTGCTCGCCCCTTTAAGCTTTATTAGCTATTCCCATTGTCCAGTTTATCCACAGGTAATTGCATCAAGCATAAACCCCACCGAACTAACTTGTATTCCCCTATTGAAGAAAGTTAACTCGCATTCCTTAATCTTTTGTTATAATTTAAGACTAGGATTAATCCCATCCCCCGTCCTGCGTTGATGGCCCCAAGTGGGGCATTAAGCAGCCACACAACATTTACTCCACGCACTCATCGCATTCGCAACTGACGGCAAATTGCCTCCAGTCCGTCCACCTCGCTGCATCCACTTCCCACTCTCCACCTCCAAATGCCGAATTCCACGCTCCACATTTGGCTCTCTAGCTCATTTTCATTCTTACACTTAAAATTAAAAACTGGAAAAAGGAAAAGTTACGACTGCAAATTGAACTTAGGTTTTGGGCATTTTAGGTAATAAGGTTGATTTTTGTATTGCCACAGTAAGCATTGGGCATGTTTTTAATTAATATAGATTTCTAAAAAAGACTTGTAGACACATTGTTTTAAAATAACACTTCAAAAGGTTAGTGAGAACTCAAAATTAAGGCTTAATGGCAAAAATCTTGAAAAAAGTAAAACGTTTTCATATCTGTAGTATGTCTGAGATCTCAAGTAAATTCTGTAACTATACGACATATTGAAAAATAATTTGGACACTTTTAAAACAAACAAAAAAAATAAATTAAAAAAAAAAAATAAATACATTTTTAATCCAATTTTCTTAGTGTTTTACAGCTGAAGCTCACTTCCAAAAGCCGCTCGAGCAAGACCACTTAACCGAGAACGAAGCAGGTCACTTACTTTGGTGTGCGCGCACTCGGATTACAAAGGGGATGCCACCAGCATAAATTCATTAAATTTGCCTAATTTCGTTTTGCCAGACGCACACACATGGCACCCATGCACTTACACACGGAATCCGACAATTGCCGCCGAGCTATGGAAATTAATGGGGGTCGGGAAGTGGAGCCAAGACAACCAGTTGAAATTCATTGATTGTATTTACAACTCCCGTGACACCAGCCCCCGCACACCAACACCCTTACTCACACCCACAGCAAACACACATGCACACTGCTTTTGGTAATTTGACGCGTTATCACTTGTGTTGAGTTTGTTATCATTAAACCGGCGACGCCGGCTGACGTACATAAGCCAAATCGAAACTCAAGAGAAACCGAAGCTCCCAGTTCCCAGCATCCAGATTCCAGCTCGAGTCCATAAGAGCCCGCCCCTTTCAGCCGCCCCTTTTAGCCGCCCGCACGCACATTAAGCACGCCTTAACTAACAGCCAGGCTGGGTCGCTTGTTTTTGACAACTTGGGCATAATAAGACATTAACTTCATGCACATCAAATACTTTATTTACGGGCGTCTGGGGTGAGTGCCTGCACTGCGGCGAAAAAGTGGAATTGATAGGCAATGTCAAACTTAATTATAGAGTTTTGAATTCCTGATTGCACTGATTTGATACAAGTTATAAGTTTTAATAGTTTTACCATTATAAAAAAGTCTGAAAACTATTACCTTTACAAGTGACATGTAAATTGACTACACTTTTGCTTTTAACATCTAAAATTTGTAATCAGAAAACTTTAAAATTAATTTCGATCACTTTTTGAGGGGTACTTTTGGTGCAAATTAAATTTTTTCATAGTTGTTAATAAATAAATGAATTCTATGAGCTGGGCTTTTCTTATTTCTTACTCCGTGACTTAATAACACTAAGTTTTTCATAGAACACACAGTTAAAGTTTTTTTTAATTTAACCTTTCTTGCACTAAGTATAACTTAAAATTTCGAAAAAAAAAATCCATTAAAAAGGAAATATCTATTAGTGTGTCAAAAGCTAATTGCAGAATAAATTCTTAAAAATACCTCTGCACCAAGCCAAACAACAGAATTTTAACCACTAAAAAAAACATAATAATTTTGTTTAAGAAACACTTCTTTAAAGTTGTTCTTAACGTAAGCATTTTTCTTTAAAATGTGCACAGTGTAGCGTTTGTGTGTGCGGAGTGTGCTTTCTTGGGCACTTCAAACGAAGCCGATTGTGACTGCGAGGGCCACGCCCAGTCGAAGATCCAAGGAGACCAAGGCGCCGTCTTGGATTTCTCGGCCCAGCTCATAATTTCAGCTCAGTTCCCGCATTTCATCGAGCGCGGCCTTCTGCCCACCAACACCACCACCACCACCCCCTCCTTGCCTACGCCTGCTTGATTTTTAATTTCGGTTTTACCGCACCCAACCCCCCCGGAACGCCTCTCTAACGCCCCTGGCCCCCACAATTTGGTTGCCCTGGCCCACGTTGTCTGTTTATTTACCATAGCTGCCTGTTTGGCAAATTAAGTGCAATTGCTTGAATTTAATTTCATGCAAATAAAAGTTTTGATTAGACGCCACACATACCGCTCCGTGACGTTCCCGTCCCGTCCCGCCCCGCTCCGCCCCTTTCCGCCCCTCACCTTAGCCCCACATTTGATCCGCCGACACATGTTCGTAATTAGGCACTTGGGTGTATATGCTTGTGTGTGTTGGCGCAGTCTACGTCCTGGGCCACGTGGCGTATGCGTAACATAAAACGAAGCGCATGAAATTACCCAAAAACGGTATATGTACCGTATATGCGGGCAATATAAACTATATGAGTTGGGGCCGTAATAAAATATGGCGAGTGTTCTACACATGATTTAATTTGGCTGCATTTTGCCAGCACACGCACAAGCTCGCTAAATAAATCTGATGTGGGATGTCTTCATTAAATTGTTAAATTTTCAAATATATTTTATGTGAGCCCGCTTGGAAGGATTTAGTATATATTTGGTGTTACCTTTTAACAACCGTGTTCTACGTTAAAACCCCTTGAGCTGTAAAATTATTTCCATAACTTTTTTATCAAAAATATTTCATTTAAATTTGTTATAAATTATATTGGTTGCTCCAATTATTAAGTATTTAGAAAAGAGTCCAAATAAGTAGACCAATCAGTTACGTTTTATTTTTTATAAAGCTTAGGCTTAAAGTTTAGAAATAAGTATAACTTACTAAAACCAAAAAAGTTTTAATAATCTAATAGTTAATATTTTCAATATACATATACTCCAGACAGTATTCAAGTGTAAATATGAATTTAATAGTAAATAGCATAACCCCTATACTTTTAAGTTTCATTTCTATACAACATAAGTTTTATTTTGATACTTTCGTGGTATTAATTTACTACTTTTCTTATTAAGAAATTGTTCATACCCAATTGTTTAAAATTCATGTAACAATAGCTTAGTTTCTATGTCAATAATGAATAAAAAATCCTTTTTAGCTGAGTCATAAATACAAGTTTTTACACCACGCCCATAATTTTTTAAAGACCTAACGAGATGTCTTATTAATACAACATTTACACAGTACAATCTCAAATAAAAGTCAGTTAATGCTTCGCAATAATAATTAAAGCGCCAAATAATTAATAAAGTTTCCCCGACCTTTCATATGTCAAATTAAATTTACCGCCCAGCACACCGAAAGGAGAATGGGCGAGGGCTGGCTGCTCGAAACAGGGAGTTCATTCTATGCCATTTAGTTTTGGCCTAAACTTGCAGCAATTTGTGTCATATTTCTGGGCCGCCACTCTCGGCACGGAACATAATTCAATAAAGTGTGGGTGGCCATGGCCACATGCCGTTCAGAACAGCCGCCTTCTCTATGGTGCGAAGCCGATGCCTGCATAATGATGTCGCAGCACATTACATATTATGTAAATATAAAATTCAATTGTTTAAGCATTTAGCTGGCTGCATAATTTATTAAAATGGCACACCTGACGCATGCCGGCTGCCGGCAGGATACAAAGGCTGAAGTTCCTTTGGGATGCACTAAAAGAAGAGTATATTAAGTTATGAATCCTTAATTTAAACGTATATTATTGTTAACATAATTGGTAATGAGCTTATCGATTGTAAGGCTCATAGATTATTTAAGGTGTAATTTAGCTTAAAATTTCCAATGCATATCTTTTATTTCCTCAATTTATTTAATGTTATTTTATTTACTAATTTATAAGAGTATTTATTTAGTTCTATTACATAGCAAGGACTAGCATCCTTCGTTTCAGCTTGGTTTAAGTTGTTTTGTTTTCTCAAGACTGTTTAACTCATATATGTAGGACTAAAAGACCCCTATTTTTTCAGAGTGTGGCACCCAGCCTGATGGGCGATGATGCTGCGTGATGGCTGCTCCAGCCTGTTCCCATCACGCTGACATCTATTGGCTTTTGTTGTGTGCAGGCTGAGCGTGGTGGACAAACAGGAGGCTGGGAGGTCCTGCCAAGCAGGCGAATGCAGGGACTGCACGCAGCGATGAAATTGATTTTTAAACAGCCGGCAAGCGAGGACGCGGCGCAGCTCATGTCGTTAGCAAATCATAAAAGTGTGGCCGCTGCTGTTACCGCTCCTGCTGCTCCGCTTAATAGTTGTTGTTTTGTCATCGCATCGCATAATGAGGAAAGTGCTGAGGTTCCACCAGCTTCTGCTCCTGTTCCTGCTTCTGTTGCCGCTGGGTTCCTTTTGGAGCAGCGGGGAGGCACTGCATCTGACATTAAGTAAGATGGATGGCGTTGACGTCGCGTGCAGCATTTAGCCCTGATCCCTTTGAGTCCATATTGATGCCGGAGACGCGTCGACGCCTTGGGGCAAAATTCAATTTGACCCGCCGATGACTTTGGTCAACTTCATTTTACGCTCAACTTCTAATGGGGCGAGGCCAATGACTTGATGAACCGTGTAACACCATTAGCACACAACAAAAAAATAACATAAGATTCTTCGAGAAACCGCTAAAATCTCTAGATATTTTAAAACGATTTTTTGAAATTAAATAACTAATCAACTTTAATTAACGGAGATACAAAAAGAAAACATTCTTATTACCTCTGGAGAATCTAATGTTTAAATATTATGTTTTTAAAGCGAATTTATTTTTACAGAAAAAAGTTAGTACCAAAAAAAGGTTTAAATATATCAAAATGGTTGCTAAGACCAAAGTCAAGTTAGCAACATAACAATCTTATATCTAAAAAAAATAATTATATATTTTGATTTGCTTTGTACACTTTAGGTAAATAAGGTAGAAACACCATTTCAAAATGTTGATATCTTAAAATGTACATAGCTTGATAAAGTTTCCCAATTTTCGATTACTTTTACATCTCAAAAAGAGCTCTTCCTTAAAGCACTTCAAAACAAGAAAGAAAACAAACTTCGGCAAGCCGAAGTTCATATACCCTTGCAGCTATTGCAAGAATTAAACATTTTTGAAAACATTGTAAATTATAATTTACTTGCGTATATTTTTAAAAACATTGAAGCTATGATGATTTGCAGCTCAATTATTTGATAGTTATTTTATATATTTTTAATATTTCCATGGGAGCTATATGATATAGACGTCCGATTTTGATAAAATTTAAACCATAATTCTGAAATATTTAACCATTGCTATATGTTGAAGAACTAAACAAAAAATTAAATAACAGAAAAGTTATAATTTTATTTCATTTATTTTTCCGATTGTTCCTATGGGAGCTATATGATATAGTCGTCCGACTTTGATGAAATTTAAATCGGAAATATTTAACCATTACTAAATGTCGAAGAACTAAACAAAAAATTAAAAAACAGAAAAGTTATAATTTTTTTTCATTTATTTTTCCGATTGTTCCTATGGGAGCTATATGCTATAGTCGTCCGATTTTGATGAAATTTTTACCATAATTCTGAAATATTTAACCATTGCTATATGTCGAAGAACTAAACAAAAAATTAAAAAACAGCAAAGTTATAATTTTTTTCATTTATTTTTCCGATTGTTCCTATGGGAGCTATATGCTATAGTCGTCCGATTTTGATGAAATTTAAACCATAATTCTGAAATATTTAACCATTGCTATATGTCGAAGAACTAAACAAAAAATTAAAAAACAGCAAAGTTATAATTTTTTTTCATTTATTTTTCCGATTGTTCCTATGGGAGCTATATGCTATAGTCGTCCGATCCGGCTCGTTCCGACTTATATACTACCTGCAATAGAAAGACAACTTTTGGGAAAGTTTCATGCAGATAGCTTTAAAACTGAGAGACTAGTTTGCATATAAACGGACGGACAGACGGACAGACGGACAGACGGACAGACGGACATGGCTAGATCGACTCGCCTAGTGATGCTGATCAAGAATATATATACTTTATAGGGTCGGAGATGTCTCCTTCACTGCGTTGCAAACTTCTGACTGAAATTATAATACCCTCTGCAAGGGTATAAAAATCGTTCAACCTGAACAGCTAAAGAAATTATTT